ACTTGATATGAGGAACATCGGGAAGATCAAAGGCAAAATACCTAAATTTCCATAGTTCTCAATTAGGTCAATCTTTGACAAGACATTGATATGTGGCAATTCCAAGTGTAGCATTGTTCATAAATTGAAAGAAGCAAAGCACTCACATACTTTCTAGGATAACAACATAAATGGGCATCGATAAGGTGCACAATAGATCAATTGCAGAATATAGAAAAAACATTAAGCAATCTAGTTCATTCACATTAAGTGACGCCTAAGCGTCAATTAAGCAACGCCTTGAAAACATTAGGGATTACAGATTTACTAATTATGGAAACGAAAGTTGCAACTGCTACATACATATTTATTTCCTCCTAAAGTTTGGTTGGGTTAGTTGGGTTGGAGGGAGGAGGGGAATCACTCTCACCGGGCTGGACCAATCGGGATGAGCAACCGGTGTTGCAAAGACACGAGGTAGCAGGTGTGGCCTGCTCTGATACGAGGAAGGACAAATTTTAGCAAGTAATCTTTTTTCGCTTAAAATATAATGCCACAGCCCAAACATCAAGAACACGAGGGGCGAGATGCCTTACTTGTCTTAGACGGTGTATCCGCTCCACTTGCTTCCCATGGTGAATCATAGAAGCGAAGTAGCAACTAGTCCATTGTCCGTAGACAAATGAACCAAACATAAAGCAAAACTGAACCGAAAAAAAAGAAGACTAAATGTAAGCTAAAATATAGCATGAGATCCCTTGCAAGGAAACTCAATATAATTGTTCAAGGCAAAATATACTACACTTTCATAAAACAATATCCTAAACCCTCATCATACTTAGCAGTAAAAGATTAAAGGGCAGATACCGGTGATTCTACTTAAGCTGTTGTGTATGATATCCTTGGTCCCTATATCACTTAAAAGTGCAGAATAAACTAACGTTAGATCATATACAATCCTGTCAATTAATTTCTATGTCAAATCAAAGCAGCACGACTTTACTAATGCTCAATTTCATCATTCTTTTCGAGTATTTCATCACATCACCAAACGCTATAGAACTTGGCACTTGTAATTACGAAACTAAAATTCCCCATACACCAATGAACACAATATGATAGTCCCATAAAACATTTTTTAAACGAACATAGTCCCACAAAACCTTACACATGCACAAGACAAGAGGCGCCATGGAACTGCACCTAAAGCTACTAGTTTCAAAAACAACAACCCTTGACCCAAACCACATATAAATAATCCCAAGGCATCAATACTTACTACGAATATAGGAACCGCAGTGAATGTCGGATCATCTGAATGTGGCCCCTCCAGCTAGCTGCAGTTAACCAAACTAAACCCTTTTGAAACTTCAGATAGGTATTCTTTTACTCACCTTCAATAAGAGGCTTCAATTTTCTTCAAGCCGGTTAATATTCTTCTCCAAGTAATCCATGCAATACACAAGCCACGACATAGAATTGAACACCTTAGAGAAAGATGCCATATTATTAGAACAAAAGTAGGTAAGTTACTGCACAGCAATAGAGGCCCAGCTGCATTACCTCAACTTTCCTAAATCAGACACCACTCCACACAACCATAGATATTAACTCCCTAACTCAAGAGATTGGGGTTCACCGATTTAGCTCAACCCACTCCGGTAGCTCATACGAAGGTGGATCAGCACTGTACTTACGCATCCACAAATAATTATCTAAAGCAAAGCATGAAATGATTATCATAGCCTGCTTCATCCTCTTGCGAAGACGGCACACCCGTCCAGAATCTGCCAACATTCTTTCAACACCTCAAACCTCCTTTCAATGACATTTCGCAACTTCTCATTCTCATCATTTGAAAAAGAGCCATCATAAGTACAACCAATCTTAGATGGGCACTGTGGCAAATTGATATGGCCTTGCAAACATGGATTGGCATACGGTATAGTAAGCTAAAACATGGATTGGCCTTGGAAACATGGGAGGCGGAGGTGGAGCATACGGTATATTAAGCTAAAACATGGATCGTAGGTAGAAAGCGGGTTACGTAATATAGAAACAAAACAAAAAACAACGCAAATTCATTACACACCGAATTCCTTGCATTTATTTACAAATCAGTAAAATTTGTCAACTTGATACAAGCTGTTCTAACACACATCGAAACTTCCTCAAATAAACGTACATTCAATCTCACAAGATGTGGGGATTTCTATCAAACACATACAGGAACATACATGAATACATGTTGGATCTCGAGATCCGTGAGGGTCAAACTACTGGCGTGTCGGGTTAGGGGCTTACCGTCTTTGGAGGGAGTCGCCGTTGATGGAGGCGGGTCCGGGGAGAGAGGCGGAGAGCACTGTCACCGAGGCCCGACGAGAGTGCGGGAAACCCTAGCCGCGCGGGGGTCAAACTACAAGACGAACAACTCGCGGCTCGAGGCGGTTGTGTGAGAGGGCGGCGTGGGATTCGGGTTACCTTGCTGGTCAAGGCGCCGTTGATGGAGGCGGGGGTGGGGAAGGAGGAGGGCGCCATCGTCACCGCAGCCCGGCGAGGAGGACGGCGTAGAGAGGTGGCGCGGCGGATCCGGTGGACACCGACGGCGCCCGATGGCCGGGCGCACCACCGCCGATAAACGCGAGAGAGACGGCGATGGCGGGCGTGTGTGTACGTGGAACCCTAGCCACCGCAAGCGAGAAAAAGGGAGAAAGTGAGAGACGCCGCCTGTTTGACCCGAACAGCGGGTATAAGACCAGCCGTTAAAATTTGGTGCGGCTAGTGTTGGGCTGCCGAACGGCTAGGCTGATAAGCCCAGCACCAGCCAGCCTACCGAACAGGCTGTATACCACATCTTAATTCCGTGTCTCTTTCAGCCACATTGTTTAGTTCGTTTGCTTATAAAGTAAGTGCGAGAGACATGTGACCTTGTTTCTTCTGAAAACAGCGTGCGTACGTGAAAGCGACTAACTGGCCGATTCATCATTGATTTTGATCTAATTAAAAAGGAATGAAACAAGGGCTCATAAAGAACAGGCATAGGCTGCGACAACTAACAGCGTAAGGTAAACTAATCTCAAAAAAAAAAAAGTAAGGCAAACTGGCTCATTACACTCGTGATGATGGCCGCACGTCGATCGGCTGATCCGACGACGAATAAGCAAGGGCTTGTTCGGTTCCTTAGGAATAGAGCCCTGGAATAATTTCTAGTTGGATTGTTTCACAAATTTATACTAATCTTGAGAAGATGGAATTGTTCCTGGTCCATTCCAAGGAAACCGAACTGACCTAAATGGAATCCGGGAATCATCAAAATCAATTACATTCTACAAGGTGTTTGGTTCACTAACTGGTAACGCAAATGGTTTGGGAAAATGGACCACGGAGGGACTAGCGGTGGCATCAGTGATTACTTAATTTGTTTGGTTTGGGCACGGTAATGTTATTGAGAGCGAGGGGCCCGCAGATGTGCTGCACCGCGGCGTCCTGTAATGCTTTAACGCTCGGGAATGGGTGGAATCAAACGTGAATAGTCCGCTATCTATTTACGCGCCACCTGATAACGGTCTGACGTTAACCAAGCATCAGTATCGTTTTCGATCTATTCCCCGCCGCAATCAGATGTCGTTACATTTTCGGCAACCAAACACCACGCTAGTGTTTTGGATCATATCAAGAGCATCTGCAGCAACCATGCTATATCTATCCCACCCGCCATCGCTGTTATTTTTAGCTGCAAAAAAAAAACACTCATGCTTCAGCAGTATTGACGTCAGCAAACACCTAGCCTTCACTGTCACAAGGCATCTAGCGAGTTCGTCACAAGAAAACTGGCTTGCGGTTGCGCCCACGCCATATCCCGACGTCCCGCGCACGCGATCGGCTCCTTTCACTGTTCCCGCTCAGCCGCAGCAGGCCAGCCAGCTGACACCGAGTCGGAACTCAGGAAGAGGAGCATCAGCACGCGCAGAGGATGATGGCTGGAGATGTTCTAAGTTGGAATCTAGCGAGGCCCATAAGCCCACGTTGTGTTTTCTTCAGATGGGCCCTATGCAGCTATGGGAACCCAGCCCAACCTCACATTCCAGCAGCCCACAAGGCAACGACGAGCTGTGCGGAGTGCCACCGCTCCAGATCACTCGGAACCTCACTGCGTGGGAGACGCGCCATGGTCGGCATTGTTTTTTTTTTTTGGCATACATACGAAACGACGAAAGGTGGCCACGCACGAAAGTTTATGTTCATCCCGTAGTTAATTGCGATTTGATTGTCCATCTGAAAAGTCCACGCCATGGCCAGATCGAGATCAAGCTAGGCGCGTTTTCTCGCTGCACGTGCAAGCGTTCCTAGTGCCAGCTGCCCGGTCTTGACAACTGGTGCAGAGGTATTGCATTGCCGGCGACCTTCATCGCAGGTGTGCCGCTGCAGCCAGGGAGCAGCGACAGCAGCGACCAAACCTCCCTCCATTTACATTTGTCAGCGCGACAAGCGATTTTCCCACCACTCTTCCACCCTTCGGCACTCGGCAGACCAGCGAGCGCCATGGAGCCGACGAGGTGAGTGCGCCTCCAAATCACGGTGCCGCGATCGACTGGCTGGCTCGCCTTTTTTTTAAGTTGGGGTAGTGTTTTTCTCTCATAAAATTTCAGTATAGTAAAATCCAGCATGAACCGTGTCCATTTCAGTCCAGCCGAACAAGCTCGTGGAGGCGGCGGCGGCGGCGGCGAGCACAATGACGAAAGATGGCCACGAGAATTATTTTTTACTGCGCATTAATTGTCCCAAAAAGAAAAGTCCACGCAGTGGCCAGACCGAGATTAAATTACGTGCTTCAAGTACGGCAACACGTGCTTGTGCGCTCGATCTGGGCGGGCTGGGCGATCCACATCCACCGCGCACACACTGCACGCACAGGACATCATCATATAGCTAGCAATCCCCCCTACCGTTGCACCGCCGACCGCCCCGACGACGCTGGTAGTTTCAGACTTTCAGTGTGGCTGGCCGGAGACGAAGACGACATGGGGGCGGTGTTCGGAGGCAGCAGCAAGCAGGGCAGCCACGCGGTGTCGTTCCTCCTCGGCGCGGCGCTGCCCACTGCCCTCCTCTTCTTCCTCGCGTCCGACCGCCTCGGCGGGGGCTTCCCCACCATCTCCAGCAGCTGGCGGGGCAACGGGTCGATATCGACCGCGCCGCAGGCTGCTGGCGCGGCTAAGCCGGCCACCGATACTCTCGCCGCCGGCTCCGACGGCCGTGCCGCGCCTACGCAAGATCACGAGGTACGTAGGCGTAAACTAAGACCCTATCCTATCCTCTCTCGTGCCGGCTGCGCGCGCCCAATGCTTTCTTTTTTCTTCTTCTTCTCTTCTTGGGCAGTGATCCGTCTCTATGGTCGCGCGTTGCACAAGCTAGTCAACGTGAACAGCAGCGATATGTTCTTGAGCTGCGAGTACTCTATGTGTATTTTTCCCATGCTAATATGCTATGATAATCTGCATTCGAACTCATCATGCATTGCAGGTAGAGTTCGCGGGCCTCGCCGAGCTGCTGGCGCGAGTGGCGACGGAGGACAGGACGGTGATCATGACGTCGGTGAACGAAATATGGACGCGGCCCAACTCCCTCCTCGACTTCTTCCTCAGCGGCTTCAGGAACGGCGAGGACACGGCGCACCTCGTCGACCACGTCCTCATCGTCACCGTCGACGCCGGCTCCTTCAGCGGCTGCAAGGCCGCGCACCCGCACTGCTACCTCCTCGAGGTGAAGTCCATGGACATGAACAGGGCCAAGACGTTCGGGAGCCCGGAGTACGTGGAGCTGAACTGGCTCAAGCTCTCCGTCCAGCAGCGCGTCCTGGATCTCGGCTACAACTTCCTCTTCACGGCAAGACGATCGATCCACACATGGCAGCACTCAATTGCTAGTAATTTCGAAACGCTCGTCATATCGATGATAGATCTCTCCTGTCCTGTATACAGGACGCCGACATTCTGTGGCTTCGCAACCCGTTCCAGCGCATCTCCGTGTACGCCGACATGAGCTGCTCGCTGGACAACTCCAAGATGGCGCCGACGCTCCTGGACTGCGAGAACAACATCGGGTTCTACTACATGAAGTCGACGAACCGGAGCGTCGAGATGGTCAGGTACTGGCGCGCGGCGAGGGCGAGGTTCGACGGGAACCCGAACGAGCAGGTGGTATTCAGCAAGATCAAGCACGAGCTCATCAGCAAGCTCGGGCTCAGGTTCCAGCCGCTGGAGACGGAGTACATCAGCGGCTTCTGCGACTTCCAGGATCACCTGGACAAGGTCTGCACCGTGCACGCCAACTGCTGCATGGGGCTGGAGAACAAGGTGCATGACCTCAAGAACATTGCCGCGGATTGGAAGAACTACACCAGCATGACGCTGGAGCAAAGGAAGGAGGGGAGCTTCAAGGTGACACCCCCGCGCAAGTGCCAGAAGTCCATGGGATGGGTGTGAATAAGCTAAAGTCTGAGGGAGACGGGTCCATGGTTTTCTTTTTCGGCCGAAATCTCCTGGATATATCATTTTTATTCTTAGGTGCCGACAAGAAAATATCTATCTTTTTCGTACAAATTTTATTTAATTTTATTTAAATTTACTTAAATTCACTTAAATTCAAATTAAATTTTATTTGAATTTGGTCCGATATTTCCGATATATCCTGTTATCCTCTTTATCTGTGACCCCCGATAAATTTTAATTTCCGAAAATGAAAACCTTGGATGCGTCAGAGTCGGGGAGTTTCAAGGTTGGCATGCAGTTAGACTATCCATCGCGCTGCGCCTGCGCGCACTTGTAATGTGAGCTCTCAGCTCTGAATATTGTAATACACAGCTGCTTGTTACTGGTGATTCAATCTTATTTTTCTTCAGTGACTGACTGACTGATCGTAGTATAGTAAAACATTAAACCTGCAAATGAAAAGGTTCGGCACAATGTCACATGGAAGGTGGCATCAAAATTCAACGTCAGCAGTTCAGCACACTGTCACATGAAAGATGGTGCTAGCAAAAATTCCCATTTCCATGGTTAGGAAGCTTCTGTGGCCACGGAAGTGGATCCTAGGATGCTCCAAGAAATCTGCCTCTGTATGACTGTATGGAATCTAAAACCTCTCTTTTCTAGGACAACTGCGATCATTGTTGCAGACCCTCTGTCCATGATTGACTAATGGCGTCCTCAACGGCAACAACAACATCGCTAGCGACATGACTTCTGAAAATAATTAAAAAAAAAGAGCACCAGAGTGAAGAGGCGTGTGAGTTGTGAGAGGGTGTTTCTTAGGACATGTGCGAGACTAGCTAGTTACCGCTCGCTAGCGCAATGATATCTCTCCTGCACAACCAATAGAATCCTTTCTGTGCTAGCAATTTGTCAACTGTTGGGGACCCCCCAAGCGTACATAGCACAAAAAAGTTCAAAGCACGTCTGCAAAAATCAAAAGATTTGCCTCTAGAGCTTTGTGCGAGGATGGACCTAACGGTACTGCTCAGTTACACCCACAACACATAAACAAATCATCGACCTTTCTATCCAATATCAGCCATTACAGAAGTGTAAAAATCTATTCTTTCCTATCTCAATCGACAAGGGGCTACATCATCGGCCAAATGTGATAGCTTCAAGCTAAATCCATGCATATCTTTGCATCACATGTCAGAATGAACCTCAGCAGTACACCCAGCTTTTGGTTATTGTGCAATCCCTGGACTTACAAGGCGGTTTTGATTCTTGGTCGTACATTTGGGGTTCTAATATCTTTACTTCAAAAAAAGCATATGTGCAACTCACTGGTACAAGGCAAGTTTACCCTGTTTTCTCTTGGCTATAGAAATCCTGTTGTCAAAACAAAAGAAAAATTTTCTTCTGGTTGTTACTCAAGGACAGGCTTAGCACCCGAGAGCTCTTAAAAAGAAAAAGAATGGTGTTGGATGATTACAACTGCGTTCTCAGTAATTCAACCCTGGAAGAATCCCTCATCCACCTGTTCTTAGCCTGTCCTTTCTCGAGTTCTTGCTGGGCAACTCTTGGTCTGGTCATTCAGCAACCAGCAGATCCTCTTGGAACCCTGGTATCCTTCAAAAACCAGTTGCAGCTTCCTTTTTTCATGAAGATTATTGTAACTATGTGTTGGGCTATTTGGACTGTTAGAAATGATGTTATTTTCAGGCAAGTTCAACCCTTGATTCTTCACTGCAAGACCATCTTCAAACAGGAGTTTGCTCAAGTTATTCTTAGAGCAAAAGACAGCTTAGCTCTGTTGGTTTCCCAATGGCTAGAAGCTTATGTGTAATTTTACAGATTTTCTCTGTTTCTTTCTTTGTTTCTTGAGGCTCTTTGTAAGACATTTGTACCTCTTTTAAATTTCAATAAAAGCATAATAGGGGAGCGCCTCTTCCTATTTCCCTAAAAAAACAAGTTATAACCAAACCCGAGATGCATTAACACAAGAGATCAGAGAGGCAAAGTCCGGCCACGGTTGACGTGTAGGCAACACACTGCTAGGGGCTCTTCCAGTCACGAATCCATGTGTCAGAGATATGGGCCCGGGTACCCTCATCGACCATATATCTGGCCCATCAACGGAGGACGACCAAGGACTAGGCGCAACTACCAACTTGGAGATCACGACGTATCAAGGATATCTGCCGCCATCACGGCTATGGTAGGATATAATTGATTTGTTGTAACAAATTCGGAATCCAATCTATAGCGCCGATCGCCCTCGTTGTAACCCTACCCCTCTGCCTATATAAAGAGGGGTAAGGACTCCGCGATCGTCACGTCCACCACGGCACAATCGCCTCATTCCAATCTATCTTGTAACTAGGAGCAACAACCCATGTAACCGAGCATACGAATACAAGAAGAAGTAGCAACTGGACGTACGACTCTTACTCGCTTTCTGGGGCCCGAACTAGTATAAATCTCTGTGTCTCGTGCGCGACCATTTGGATCAATCTACGCGATCACGTTGCTAGGCATTGCCGGAGCTAAACAATCCAACACCATGTTTGTATAATCGTAGTAGTGTTTTGGCAGGTCGTTGTGGTTTGTTCGTCTACGATGGTAGGCCTCTCGTTGCCTGTTGTTCGTCGAACACCATGTCTTTGTGTTAAAATTTTTTCCCGTAATAAAATACGTACAAAACCATTGTTCGCAAAAAAAGATGAATTGGCATCACAATCAAAAGGTCGTGACAAAAAAAGAGTGAAGATGAAGATCCGATGCATGACGCCTAAGGAATTAAATGAAAGGGATCCTTCTCAGTCACTAGGTACACCCGCACTACCAGAACCTCCATCGAGCCTCTCACGAGCCCTCGGGCGAGGGAGGTGGAGGCGACAGGATCTCCAGATCCGCTTGTGGAAGGCAAGCATGAGAGGAGAGAAAACCCTAGTGAGGCGACACAAATGTACAAGGTTGAGAGAGGGTGCATGGGAGCAGTGCCCCTATCGAGGCTTAGTGTGCAGAGCTATCATAAGGGTCATGCACAACGGGTGTAGGAGCAGGTCAATTAGGTGCACACGGGCTACAGGAGCAAGCCCGCATAGCTGGATATGGAAAAATCGGCTGTTTCTATAGATGTAGGTTGGACATGCTTTGAGTATATTGTTAGAATGAATATGGGGTAATTAAACATATGAAAATTGTACTACTAAGGTTTAGATAAGAGGAATCAAATCCTCTACTGCTGGAATATGAGATCACCATTCCCTGTGACATGGACAAAGCACCGGAGACTTGAAGTCAGGGTAAGGATGGGCTTAGGCGTAAATCCGATATTACGTGACCGCAAAAGCGAGGCGAAAATAAGCTAAGTACGTATGGAAACCCCTCCGGTCTCCCAAGACCCAGACCCCAGCAGAAACGGCGAGATTGCCGGCGAGAGTTTTCCTATGACCGGCGGCAGCAGCAGCACCCGGCGTCCGACCGCCGCTGCCAGGAGCCGCGGGAGGCCCTCTGAGGCCTCGGAGCCGGAGCCAAGCGCACGCCGAGCCGCGGCCGCAGCGGCGCGGCGCCGTGGCCGCGGCGACCATGGGCCCCTGCGCCTCATGGACGTGAGGCCCCGAACCCTCGCGCTCTTCGTGATTGCTTCCTTCGCCCTCGTGTCGGTCGCCTTCGTGGTGTATACTGGTGGGTGGTGGGAGGAGGCGGAAGGCGAGGGCGCGGCGACGCTGCGAAAGGTCATGCGCTCCGTAACGCCGCTGTCAGCGCCCAGGATGATGGATCTGCCTCAGGTGATGCGCATTTGGTTGCCACGTTGTTTTTGTCCCGAAGGTTGAATGAAATTGCACGACAGCTAAAGCTAGTAGGGAAGTACACCACTCTAGTTTCAGGGCCTCAAGTTGATTTTGGAAGTGTTGCTTTATGTATTCGTGAAGTAGTAGTGACCGCTGATTTAGCATCAGGTGAGATTGGCACCATGAGCTATTAATTGTGCATCACTTCATATTTAACGATGATAGAGTTATGTTGAAGCGCAGTAGTATGTACTGATGTTGGTAAACAAAGCTAGTCAAATTTGTTTGTTGCAAAGTGCTTTTGATAAAATGCACACTAACATATGTATTTATACTTCTTTCTAGTGTGCACTTGATTTTCTCTCAATCTAGTTTTTTTTTTCCTGAATGATGCATAATTGAAAGGCTCTCATTTCTTTGTATCCTTGGGTTTTATTAGTAACCATGTTACCTTTCTGATGGTTCATGCCTAAATGATTGCAGTTTCAAAGTAACCACAAGGAAAGTTTGTATTGGGGCACTTATAGACCAAATGTGTACCTTGGAATTCGTGCAAGGTGCTAAACTCTTGCAAAGCCTCCCTATTTTCCTTCACAACAAGTTAATTACTGAAAATTATTCCCTTCCTGTAGTTCTCTACTTCTCTACTAGTTGGACTACATTTGAAAGTTCATGTTCCTCATATAAATAGTTTTGATGATGTTTCCTTACTGTCATGAAAGTTAGAATCTTATAACTGAGAAGCCCCCTTCTTCCCCCCCCCTTTCCTTGTCCCTCTGTGCCTTCATGTGGAGTCAATCATCTTTATGCAATGAAAGTACTTCTATACTGTGCCTTTTAAAATAATACACCATGCTATTTTTTTAGCTGAAAGTACCATCTTTATGCAATGAGAGTATTTTGGAACCAAGGATTCAAGAATTTCTTGCTAATGTTACCTCTATTTCAGAACCCCCCTGTCTCTAATTGCTGGATTGATGTGGATTGGCTTGAAAAATGGACAATACTTTCTTCGTCATGTTTGCCAAGATTCTGATGAGCTGAGCACATTTGGGTGGACAGCTCACAATGGTAGGGATTATGGACGTCAAGTGCTGGTTGATCATGGCCTATTCTTGACTACTAGTTTTCTGAAAGAGAAAGGAGAGAGCAGTGGTTATGGTGGAGACTGGGCAGTTCGATTGGACGCTAACAGCGAGAGGTAAGCATACTTTCATTATCTGCAAATTGAAGAAAAGAGCATTTCAATCTTACCAAAAAGCTGTTTTAACACATCTCAATTTGTAAACATACTAAACAGAGGATGGAAAGAATGATAAGTCTGAATTGTTTCCTTCGTTGCGACGTAGCCTGATCCCAGCTCAGTAGGATATCGCCTGTGATTACTTACTTGCAACCCTTCAAAGTTATCCAAAAGAAATTTATTCCATGTTGTTAAACTTTCTCTAGGTCAGGCTTAAGTGATGCTCAAGAAAGCACCACACATTTTTTTTCTCGTTGCTGATGAAACTGGAAATCAGATCACTATGGGTTCATATGAACCTTCATCAAGAGGCCCTGTTCTTTTGGCATCTGGGTCGCATGAGGAGATTGGTGATTGGGAATTGTACTTGAGATCTGAGGTATCCTTGTCTTGATAGTTTTTGACCTCGTTAGCTCCTCAGTACTGTTTGCTATGGGATATGCTGGTGCAACTCCATTTGACTAACTTTCATATGGATATAATATATGCAACTCTGTTTCTCACAGGACAATTTGGAAATTCACAGAGCTGGATTCAAATCAACGAGTATGCATAATCTGAGTGACCTAGTACAACAAGCTGTTGCGACTAATGTATTTTAAACTCATCATCATTTACCTTATTACTCCCTATGTCCCAAATTGTAAATTGTTGACTTTTGACTTTATCTTAAGTCAAACTTATCTAACTTTGACCAAGTTTATAGAAAAATATATTAGCATTTACTATATCAAATGAATCCACTATCAAAATATATTTCATGATGTATCTTATGAATATAGTTTGACGTAGTAGATGTTTGTATATTTTTTCTATAAACTTGGTAAAATTAGAAAAGTTTGACTTAGAACAAAGCTAAAACAACTTACAATTAGGAACAGAGGGAGTATTTTGGGAAAAAATCAGAACATTTTGTATTTCATTAAGTACATTTCCATGTAACTACTTATATGGATTTATCTCTAGGCAATGCAAACTGGAAACCTTAATCTACCAGACATTACTGAGGATTCTTCAAATATAATGGTCTATCAGGTAACTGGAAGAGGGCAAGGAAATTTATCCATCATTATAATTTAGGGTAATTATGTATTCCTCATGTATGTGTGAAGCCTTTCGGTAGAAAGAGTCATTAACACCATCTTATTTCCTTTTGACTTTCGTAAAATGATAAATGATGCGGAATATGTGCTTGTTTACTCAGTATAATGTCAAGAAGCAGGTGTTGCATGCAATAACTTTGATCACTGGCACGTCATATACTCATATTTCAGTTAAGCATTAGCAGTAGAAATATATTAGCACATTAGCTATACTCACTGTTATGTAGTAGTAATATGTATGGATTGGACACATGGAGGATGTATTGAGGCTATTTTTTGGTGAACTACTTTATATATTTTGTTGTTTTCTACTTTATAAGTTATGTAACCTTTGTTTCAAAAAAAAAAGTTATGTAACCAAATGTTACTGTTATCCTCTGTTGATACTTCTGATCCATGTTTGCTGCGATCTAGCCTTATGTTGTTTCTCATGAGCTATTGCATTATGATTTATACTTTATTTTGATTTGATAGGTTTCCATAAAGACTCCTGCTCAAATAGACATAGTATTCTTGTCAGGGTCTTCCTCAAAGTCTCCAGTGATTGAAGAGCGGATTAGCAAGCTAACAGGTGATTCTGCTGCGTAGCGCATACTGCAAACTATTAGGAAGTATATATGTGTATTAGGAAGCTTGTTCATTCCTTCCATGTACACTGATTGTATTCCATATATATCAAGCCTGATTGGCTATATAATAGAGGTCACCCCCCCTCATTAGGGGTGAGGTGTTTCCCATATCCTTTCTGCATGGTATCAGCTAATTAGATCCTGAACCTCCTCCTTTCTCCCTGCGCCCTCTTCCTTCCTCCCTGCGCCCTCTCTCTCTCTCGGCTGTGCCATGGCCCATGGCCCATCCATCTGGATCCAGCCCCCCACAGGCCATGTCGCCGCCCTCGCCCGCCTCCTGCCGCCAATGGTGGTGGCACCTCTGCCGCCGCATCGCTACGGCGGCTTCTCTGGTGTTCCTGCTGGCGCCACGTCCGGCAGCGACGCCTTCATTTCCCCTACCGTCCAACCATATGCCACCGTCAACGTCAAGTCCCATATTCCGTGCCGGCGGCGAAGTCCACTGCCTACTCCAGATGGGCGTCCTACTTCAAGTCTCTGTGCGGCAAGTTCGGCCTCCGGTCGCACATCGATGGCACCATGCCACCTTGCCCCCAGGATCCTGCTTGGGATCAGGCGGACTGCTGCGTCCGCTCCTGGTTCTTCGGCTCCGTCGACGACTCCGTCCTCGACCTCGCCATGACCGGCGACAACCGGACCGCGGGACCTCGGCTCGCCATTGAGGGCCTTTTCGCATAACGAGCGGTCCGGCGATCTTCCTCAGTCATGATTTCCACTCCATGACGCAGGGCGACTCCACCATCGCCGAGTACTGCGGCCGTATGAAGACCCTCGCCGACGGCCTCCGCGACGTCGGTCATCCAGTTCAGGAATCGCAGCTGGTCCTGAACCTTCTCCGCGGCCTCAACCCCCGCTTCACCACCACAGCTGACGACATCGCCAACTCCGCCACCGGCTTCCCGTCCTTCAACCAGGCGTGGGACATGCTCGCTCTGAAGGAACTTCGCCTCGCTAACGAGGAGAAGGTCTCCAACTCCACCGCCCTACTTGCCGGGAATGCTTCGTCCTCCTCTGGCTGTCCAGGTGGGTATCGCCCACCTGCTGGACATGTTCAGCCTAGCAGCAGCAACACCACTGGTGGCAGCGGCGGCCGCACCAGCGGCGGTGGTGGCAGCAAGAAGCGGTGGCAGCAAAAGAAGGCCGGCGGCGGCTTCCAGTACCCATCCGTCCAACGCCCCACCGGTCCTTGGTTCTGTTTCAGTCCTGGCGCCAACTCCTACAGCGCTCCAGGCTTCCAGCAGGCCAGCAGTCAGGGCAGCGGGGGCTGGCGCACTAGCGCCCCTAGTATTCTGGGCCAACCCCCGCAGGCTCACGCTGCCTACGTCGCCGCTCAGGCACCCCCTCAGGCGCCCACCTGGGATCAAGCGGGACTCGTCGCTGCCTTGAATCAAATGGCGTTGCACAATGGTGGTTGGGTCGTTGACTCAGGAGCCTCCGGCCACATGTCGTCTACGGATGGTATTCTTCTTTCCCGCCTCCCTCCATCTCACTCCTCCATTACCGTAGGTAATGGACACACCCTTCCAGTCACGTGCCGTGGCAATTCTACCCTCAGCACCCCCACCTCCAGTTTTCAGCTTAACAACATCCTTGTTGTCCCTTCATTAATTCGTAATCTGATTTCCGTTCGTCAGTTTACTAAAGATAATAACTGCACCATAGAGTTTGACGCTTTTGGTTTCTCTGTCAAGGATTTTCCGACCAGACGCGAGATTCTTCGCTGCAATAGCACCGGCGATCTTTACACCATTCCTCCAGCCGCCAGCTCTGCAGCACCCCACGCCGGTCTCGCCATCTCCTCCAGTTTGTGGCATCTCCGTCTCGGTCATCCCGGTCCTGCTGCCATCACTGCACTTAGACAGAAAGCATCCATTTCTTGTAATAAAGACAGTCATACTCTATGTCATTCATGTCAATTAGGGAAACATGTGCGGTTACCTTTCTCTAATTCCAGCTCTCGCAGTTCCACTCCTTTTGAGTTAGTCCATTGTGATGTCTGGACTTCTCCAGTACCTAGCATTTCTGGTTATCGCTACTACCTTGTCATTTTGGATGATTTCTCACATTTCTGCTGGACGACTCCTCTTGTTCACAAATCTGAAGTCACCCAACATATCACAGCCTTCTGTGCTTATGCCACTACACAGTTCAGTCTTCCCGTTCGCAGCATCCAAGCTGACAACGGAACCGAGTTTGTCAATAAGACTCTCACATCTTTTCTGACTTCTCGAGGCATCCACCTGCGCCTCTCTTGTCCCTACACTTCTCAAAATGGAAAAGCTGAGCGTGTCCTCCGCACCCTTAACAATGTCACTCGCACCCTACTGATTCATGCCTCCATGGCCGCCCCATACTGGGCCGAGGCCCTCGCCACCGCCACCTATCTTCTGAACAGGCGCCCTTGTTCTGCTGTTCAAAATAACATTCCCTATCAACTCCTCTATTCCCAGCCCCGAATACTCACTTGCGTGTATTCGGTTGTCTGTGCTATCCTAATCTCTCAGCCACGGCACGCCACAAGCTTGCTCCTCGATCTGCAGCCTGTGTCTTCCTCGGTTACCCTTCATCGCACAAAGGGTATCGCTGCCTTGACCTATCCACCCGTCGAGTCATCATCTCTCGCCATGTTGTCTTTGATGAGTCCGTTTTTCCTTTCTCCTCCCACCCTACTCACCCGTCACAGCCTGACTTCCTCTTGTCAAGCCTCTCTACTGCTCCTGCCTTGGTCGCTCCGTCCTCGGACGTTGCGCAGCCGCGGCCATCACCCGCTGTTTTGCAGGAACTTCCCGACGATGATCCCGCCATTCTGGTACGCGGTCCAGTAGTGTACCGCGCTCCGACTGCGGGCGGGACGCCGCCCTCTTCCTCCACTGCAGGACCAGCCCGCTTGGACGTCGTCCCTGCTCCTGCAGTTGGGGGTTCCACCGGCCGCCCGGCACCTACCAGACCGCTGGTGCCGCCCCTGCCTCTTCACTACACCAGGCGGCCACCGGCGGCTGCGGCATCTGCTTCGGCGCCTCCTGCAGCGCCGCCCTGGTCTTGGCACCAGCAGCCCCGGCGCCCACACCTCTGCCGTCGCCACCTGCGCCTGCGGCACCTCAGGCGCCTGCAGTCCTGCCATCGTCGCCACCTCCTGCTTCTACACGACCTGTCACTCGGACTGTGACTGGGGCCATTCCGCGGGTGTCCTACCAGGGCTTGACGGCTTCGCCATCATCGCCCTCTCCGCTTCCGGCAAACTATCGCAGTGCTCTGGCTGACACCAACTGGCGTGCTGCAATGGTCGACGAGTTCCAGGCTCTGAAGGACAAGGACACTTGGCGCCTTGTCCCACGGCCGCCCGGTGCCACATATCCTTTCTACACAAACACTATATGTGATTCTTCTGATTCTATTTGTCATGAGATGCAAAGTCACCACCCATATTCTTTACGCACTGATCATTTTGATTTTTGAACAAATCTATTTGGCTCTTGGCTTGTTCTACATCCTTGCATAATTTTCTGGATCTGTTTTATCTACATCTCGTCTTTGCGATGAATATGAAATTCAAGAACGCTGTAAGCACAATATATCTGTTGTTTTAGTTGCTTCTCACTAATGATGTCAGGTCCCATGCTGAGTACCCGTCTTGAAACAAAACAAAAGGAATTTGAAGAGAAATATGATCGAATCTTCAATGTAAATAATAAGGTGCGCTGTGTTGGATGAGCATTTTATTTGACATTCCACAATTTTTTCTTTTGTTTTTGCAGTATCTGCAGTTGTTATATTCTCACTGTATTATTGTTTCCTACGAATCAAATCATTTTTGATCCTTGATTAAAATATTTCTTTCCCAAGGGATGCTACTCATTACTTTATTGGCTCTTGTATTTGTTTGTAGACAATTAGTAAAACTTGACTAAAGTTTTTGTCGTTGACCTATGCTGACGTAGTTTTCATTTTGATTAAGATTGATTCCAGAGAATTATCTGTTGGTAGAGCTGCCTTGTCAAGTCTTCTTGGCGGTGTTGGCTACTTCTATGGGCAGTCCAAAATTGCACTTCCGAAAGGTTTTACAGTAAGTTTTAGAGCTTCACCTGATATCGGTTTCATTTGTTCATATGTTGTGATCTGCTCTTATTCTGAGAAATTGCTGTCTCAGGATACTTTTTTTGATTAGCTGCGTGTTATTTTTATACTGTTTTGTAGTATGTTGCATCTGAATTCCTAAGCTAATTACAAGTCACAGACAACCAAAACTTAATGCTTGTGTTTCTCTGTCAGCAAAAAAATGGGGATAAATATATTCCATATTGGCCCGCTGCGTTATATACAGCTGTGCCCAGCCGCTCATTCTTTCCAAGGGGATTTCTGTGGGATGAGGGCTTCCATCAATTAGTCATTTGGTAACCATTAGTTTTTATCTCAGTGTTCAATGAAGGTTTTCTGCTGTATGCTAATGCACATCCCGGTGGTTGATGTACAGGCGTTGGGATGTGCATATATCTATGGATATCATTGGACATTGGTTAGATCTGCTTAATTCAGATGGATGGATTCCTAGGGAGCAAATCTTAGGAGCTGAAGCTTTAAGGTTGTTTCTACTGTCACAACCAGTGATAAATTTAGTATGACACTTCTTATATAATCCAACTTCTGCAATCATGCAGTAAAGTTCCTGAGGAGTTTGTTCTGCAGTACCCTTCCAATGGGAACCCTCCAACTTTATTTCTTGCGATACGTGGTAAGCCTCTAAGCCATTACTTTCTTTCTTGCTCCTCATGTTGATGATGTGTTTATTGTATCTTGTGATATCTAATTCTTTGTTTTCTCTGATATTTAGTGTAACTTGCATGCATGGCATGCCTTTAAATGAAAAATGCTGAAGCATAACCTATAAAATCAATTTACAAACTGTAGTTCTCTGTTCCTCTTTTTCCAATATTCAAATGCCATAATATATGAAAAAGGGCACGGCAAATAGTGCTCAAGGAACAGAAGACCTGTCTTGGGAATATTACAAAATATGTTAGTTTGTAATATTTTGGTGTATGTTTATCCAATTATAAACATCAAATGCTAAGAAATTTTGTTGACTGACAAGCATGAAAAGTCTGTTAAACATATGAAGGTCCATAAGAGTTGAAGTCTTTAACTGTAAATCTGTAATCAAGTCTTGCTTTCGATTAATTTGTCATCTGCTCTTTGTCTTGGGACAGATTTGGCAAGTGGAATACATGCACATCAGTTTTCAGATGAGGAAGCTGAAAAGATTTCCAGTTTTCTTGAAAGGGCTTATATACGGCTAAATTCTTGGTTTCAGTGGTTCAACAGTACACAATCAGGTGAGCTTTCTTTTCCCACTTTCATTTTCTGTACTCATATTGACTAGTGTGGGAGTTTAATGCTGTTGCCATGATTATTTTCTGAAACACACAAACACGATAAACCTAAGCTGTTATATGGTGTACTGAGATGATAGTTGAAAGCCTAACAAGAGGCACTAGCTCAGTCTATTATTAGGTGCTAGCCGTGGTTGTATGGTACAAAAAAAAAATCAGAAGATGAGATACGGTTGGGCCTTTGAAGCCTTCACTGGGTGCTATTAATTTTTGGAGTATATTTCAATTGCAGAATATCACTTTCAGTTACTGCTGGCTTCAGTTCATTAATTGTAGTCAGCATAATTTCTTATCAGACATGAACCTAAGCTTGATCAGAAATAATCTGTTGACATAGCTGACAGAGTCATTCCGGTCGATCTCCTAGACTTCCTTTTGTAGAGGCACATCAGATTTGCAGAACTGATCTCTGGTTGCTCCATATTTTATACTCTCACATCAAGTCGGTGCAAAAAGTATATTTGGTTCTAAACTATTCTTTTGTAATTGTGGTCCTCAGCTAGTTAAGTAGCTGTTACATCTCAAATCCACTGTTCCAAAAAAAGAAATGTGACCCAACTGCTTTTGAGTCTTTAGAGCTTAAATAGTTTTGTATTTCCTTGTCCAACTATTGGACCTGTTCTGCTTGTTCAAAATAGGAAGCATTCACTTTGGTAGGGAATGATTTTATGTGTTTTGATGATCCTCTAAGATATAAACACCATCTAATTGTCACGTGGCTTCACCCTGTGCAGTAGAACTTTCTACAAATCCATCTAAGCGGTAAGATATGAGATATTTGTTTCATAAAATTGAAGTGAAAGCTATTCCCTTGTGAGGTCAATGGACACGGAATATACATTTGCTCGTTCCATATATGATCCTACTTGTCAGTGTCAACACTTCTACATTTGGCTTATTTATCATAAACTGTTCATAGGTAAATACGAAGGCACCTTCTATTGGCATGGAAGAGACAACATAACAACAAGGGAGTTGAACCCAAAGGTTTTTACATAATTCATTGTGGCTTGCTCCTGTACTGATCAGTTGGTCAAAAGTTTTTTCATCGAGCCCACGTCATGCCAACATTAGAGTTCCTTCACTTTGCACTTACCTGATGTTCCCAATTACTTTGCAGACTCTGACATCTGGATTGGATGACTATCCTCGTGCATCTCACCCTAATGATGAAGAACGGCATGTTGACCTTCGTTGTTGGATGCTTCTAGCTGCAAATTGCATCCGTTCCATTGCAGAGTTTCTTAAAATGGATGGTGCTCTTGAGAAGGTAGTTCAGTATGGATGTAGGAACATGACTTGCTAATTCGAGTTGATTTGTCTCAATCATTGACTTTGCCTCCTCTTTGAAAAATTTTGTTGAATTTTTGCAGGATTACTATAAGATATCAAATCAACTTTCTGATTTCGGAACACTTAACAAGGTACTGTGTTGTCAATTCCTTTTTTTTCGAAACACAGACACTCATGCATGATACATGCAAGTCCTTGAATTTATGTATCATACTGGAATTATTTTTTGGAGACCACTCAAGTATTTTGGCCCTGTCTTGACTCCATAAAACTGAACTTCTCTCCTCTTGAGAGTGGACCTCTCAATTATTTCCTCTGTATGGAATCTTCTAGAAAATTGTACGTTTGCAAAAATTCTGCCTTAAAACATGGTGTTATTCTAGTTGATATATTGATCATGTTCTGAACCCTGATTGTGCCTTTATGAGACAATATTGGTTTAGTTCCAAAATCGAAACAACCTGATGACTACTGCTTGTTACATTCAGTTATGTAATTATTGGCATTTTTACAGTTGCACTTGGATGACAAAATTGGTGCTTATTTTGATTATGGTAACCATACTGAAAAGGTCAGCACAGTGCTTCCTCTGAGCTTTGGTACTTTTTTGCCACACATTGTTCTCAACTTTGATTGTGAGGTTATTTTTGTAGGTTCGATTGAGATGGTTTGATGTGAAAGACAAGGATACTATGAGACGAGAGTTCTTGCGGGAAACATTACAACCCCCTCAGCTGCAATTAGTACCCCATGTTGGCTATGTCAGCCTCTTCCCATTCATGATGGGGACTATTCCACCTGTATGTTACTTATGTCTGTCTTGTTTATCACTTAAATGGTTTTTCTGATGTCCATCTTAATTAATAATCACATTTGACTACTCAGGAATCGTGGGTTCTTGAGAAGCAGCTCGATCTGATATCTAATACCTCTATATTGTGGACAGATTATGGCCTTCGATCACTTTCTAGAAAAAGGTAAATGGTCATGATTTGGTCTATTATTTTGTCCATTCTCCCCTCCCCCTCATCCACCCCAAACGGCCAAACCCCCAACCCTTCTCCCAAACCACACACACCCCACATAAGTCTTGGATATCTGGAGCATATATGCTAGTGCTTTCCTATCCTATGAATGGCATAGGCTTCAATTCAATGTGGTTAGATGGAATTTTCAAACTGCATTCATGCTCCCAATACTTTATTACCGTAGCTCAAGTTATATAGCTATATTATTTGGTCATCCAATAACTGGGTTCTGAAGTATCTACTAATACATGGTCCAGTTCAATATATATGAAGCGTAACACAGAGCATGACCCGCCTTATTGGAGAGGTGCCATTTGGATAAACATGAACTACATGGTACTTTCCGCACTACATCATTATGCACATGGTAAGCTCTTTAATTGCCTAGTTTATACCCTTTGCAAACCCTTATGCTGGCACAATGATCTAACATTGTGCTTTCCTGTAGAGGATGGTCCATATAGCGGCAGGGCAGGGGAATTGTATGACAAGCTAAGATCAAATCTTATCCGGTGTGTTCATTCTTCTCTTGAGTTGAAACCAAATGAATTCGCTGAACTGTAGCTTGCCTAATACATTGCTGACACTACTTTCCGGTTTTACCTTTACAGGAATATCGTGCAGAATTACGATGAAACGGGGTTCTTCTGGGAAAACTATGACCAGAAGAACAAAGGAAAGGGAAAGGGTGCACGGTCATTTACTGGATGGACTTCACTTATTGTTCTGATCATGGCAGAGTCCTACCCAACATTGCATAGGTGAGATGTACATTGCAAACAACCAGAGCAGAAGATAGCTATGGCAGATGGAATGAAGGGGCTGACAGCTGGCTGTTGTTTAGCTTGATTTCCAACCAGAATAATGGGAGAACTTGATTCGTAGCATTAGCTGCCTTAATCATGAAGATTTTGACAATAACTCCTGGCCAATCTGTTCAGCATCATTTATACAGTGTTAACGGTCATCCCTGTCCTCTCTCATACTGTAAACTAGTTCCTCGAAGAACTAATTTTTGGGGTCACGAAATCCACCCCAGGAAAGCATGAGCATATGGAAACATTTGGTTCTTGAAATCTGATACTACGTGGATCTGTTACTTGCTATCGAACGTCTATGAATATGAATGTAATCTGCTACTGCTCTTGTTATGCTTGGCTATTTGCACAATACGGGTACAACGGCCCAATGATCCCTGAAGAAACATGCTGCCCGAGTATGTGACTGATACCTTCGCATTTTACTTGCTAGAGAATCTGCACAACACAATGTATGGCATGTGTTTTGAAATCGTTTAACCCTCTGGAACGCGTCCCCTGTCTGTGCTGTGACTGCCTGTACTTTCCTCGCTGTGTCTGTAAGCATCATGTATCCCCTGTTTTGCAAGCAAAGATAAGTACTCCAACATTCTGAATTCTAATCATCGTCAGAAGCACTAGCTCCAGGACTAATATTTCCTTCCAGAACTAATGTTTCCTTACCCTGGTAAGTTGTTGCCCAGTTGATCACTGGGAAAGAAACCTTTTGAGCTGACAGCCGAGACCACCGAGCTGGTAGCAGCTTGCCTTGGATTTAGAGCATCGTGGACTCGTGGTACTGGTCAAATAATGAAGAGGGGAGACTTCCTGAATTCGTAGTCCTGCTGGAGAATCTCTTGCGATCAACTCACGGATTCCCGGTTCTATCAGGTTCAGGTCGCCTGCCACTGACAACTTTGGTGCACGCGTCCACGCCATTATGGATGGAAGTCGGTACTTCCAATGAACAACATGCTGCTCAAAAGTCAAAATATGTACTCTAGCCATCTCGCACCGGGGAATTTCCCTTCTGGATGGAAGAATCAAACTGTTTTCTACTCCCTGCGTCCAGGCGTGTCCAGCTTCAAAGTGATAAAAATATGTTTTTTTTTTGGACGGAGGGAGCAGTATTGAATTTCTCGCGTGGCGGTTAGCCGTCAGTCACCGTGGCCACGGTCCAAGCAGAAGCGGACGGATCACTGAGCACAAGAGCGCAGAGAGCCGTCGCCATCGTCCATCGCAGATTCGCAAATTCGATAGCGGACACAGTTTGCTCCACCCAAACTCCCAACAGCCCCAGCCCAATCATCACATTCCAATAGCACACCAGAGCAACGACGGAAGATGCACACGAAAGTTTATCCCGCGCCTTGTTTAGATTGTAAATTTTTGCAATCTGGACACTGTAGCACGTTTCATTTGTATTTGACAAACTTTGTCCGATCATGGACTAACTAGGCTCAAAAGATTCGTCTCGTGATTTACAACTAAACTGTACAATTAGTTATTTTTTTACCTACATTTAATGCTCCATGTATACGTCCAAAAATTGATGTGATAAAGAGAGAGTAAAAAAACTTGGAATTTGAAGGTAAACAAGGCCCCGTTGTTGATTGCGCATTGATTGCGTCTGGAACTGAAGTCCACGCCGTGGCCAGATCGAGATCAAGCTAGACCTGTTCGCTCGAACTGCTTATCATGATACACTATTTTTCTCACGTAAAAAAATAGCATATCTGCCGCAGAAACCGTTAGAAGACGTGCAATCGTGCCTGCATTCCAGTTTCAGTGTTCCATCAGGTCCACCCACCCGTTCTCATCGAGTGACAAGTTCCCATCCCCGACTACTTTACCACCACCACCACCATCGGAAAGCACAGCACAGCCGAGCCAACCAACGGGTGTGCCCACTGCGCGGCGCCATTGGGGTCGGCGGGCGCCATGGGGGCGCCGAGCAGCCGCGTGCTGGCGCTGGGCGCGGCGTTCCTGCTGCTCCTCGTCGCGCTGCCCTCCGCCTTCCTCTACCTCACCTCCTCCGCGGCGCCCGCGGCCACCCGCGCCACCCTCCTCAACCTCAAGCCCTTCTCCGCCAGGTGCGCGCCCGCCGCCGCCGCCGCGCCGCTCCGCGTCTTCATGTACGACCTGCCCGCGCGCTTCCACGTCGCCATGATGGGGGCCGACGCCGCCGCCGCAGGCGCGGGGTTCCCCGCGTGGCCGCCCTCCGCGGGCGGGATCAGGCGCCAGCACAGCGTGGAGTACTGGATGATGGCGTCGCTCCTGGACGAGGCCGCGGGACCGGAGGAGGGGGGAAGGGAGGCCGTCAGGGTGCGGGATCCTGACGCCGCCGACGCCTTCTTCGTGCCCTTCTTCTCCTCGCTCAGCTTCAACGTGCACGGCCGCAACATGACCGACCCCGACACCGAGGCCGACCGCCTCCTGCAGGTGCCGCCGTTAATCACATTCACATACAGATAATTTTTTAGATGCTACAGTAGCTATGTACAAATTGTTACTCCTACTTATTATTTTTCTGTTGGCTCATTGGTTGTTGATAATTCTGCGCTGTCATGGGACCTACGATTGATTACCATTTAATTAGGCTCAGATTGAGACAGCTCTGCACAAATTGCTACGCTAAGAAGCAGCCAAAATTACCCAGTGAAAGCTGCACTAAATCACTAATACGCCCACTAGAACAGCCACAACACTACCAAAAATCATTGAGCCATTGAACACAGACAAGCACATGAAAGATATTCCGCAGAGGAACAAACTGTTGGCGTTTTGACAATTCTCTCACCAGTTGGTGCTCTGTTACCATCAACCATGCTATCAAGAAACAGACTTCTTTTCAAATTCTGAATCTCTCTGATATGTCGACAAATGTCCCTGTTTCCTTGGTAATATAATGTGGCATACTGGCATGGCATCTTTTATGTCACTGTACTAATTTAAGTATTGTTTTGCTCTGCCAGATGTCCTCGTAGGTTGAGCTAGTTCTGGACTGTTGGGACTTAGTTACTGTGACCTGTTTCTTAGTTTAGGATTTTTGTGATTAAACCTTGATCACTGCTAAGGATAATATTTCTGCAGAACTAAAAACAATTAAGATGGGGAATGGTGCATTTTGCTTATTTTCTATGGTTGACAGGATTTGCACATATGGTTAAATCTGTAGGAGAAATTATTCACTGTATATGGTATGATGCTTGCCATATATGTTAAGGCCAGTGAATTTAGCTCCTTGTGGGCAGCAGGGTCCTGAAGCTAGCTTGATTTGCATGCCTGCATGACTACTAGCAACCTCTATGGACTTATAGGTGCCAATCATGCTGTGATGGTGTTTTAGAGAGTTTTACGAGGATAACAGAACAGGCAGTAGCTAAGAGTTCCACTGTTCAACATCACTGAGAACAGACACTTTTAATCCATGCCCTGGTGCTTCCTTTTGATCTATTTGACAATGCAATTTGTGCTTGAGGCAAAGAAAGTTTATTCCAAGAAGATATCACTACTTTCTTGTCACCTAATTTTTATTTTTGCCATGTCACTGTGCCAAGTTTGTTTAGCTAACACATAACACTAGGCATGTATGGTAAGAAATAAAATAAATATAGTCTGCTATACTCCTCTAGAGTTTATTCGTTAATCAGGATTGGCACTATTATCCAGTGTCCTTCCTTGTGAAAATATACTAATGTCCTAGTCCATTTTAACATTAGGAAAATATTGTGAAAATGTACTGTTTTGTACTTATCTTGCTATTGTTTTCTTGCAGGTTGAAATTGTGGACATTCTATGGAAGTCTAAACATTGGCAACGGTCTGCGGGCCGTGACCATGTCATTCCTATGCATCACCCTAATGCTTTCAGATTCCTGCGAGCAATGGTGAATGCATCTATTCTAATAGTTTCAGACTTTGGGAGATACACAAAGGAGCTGGCTTCCCTGAGGAAAGATGTTGTGGCACCATATGTGCATGTTGTGGATTCCTTCCTTGATGACGATCCACCTGATCCATTTGAGGCTCGTCATACACTGCTTTTCTTTCGAGGCCGTACTGTCAGGAAAGATGTATGGAACTGATTTATGATTGTAATAACTCCCTCTGCCCCTTCTCTGTGATCTGTTTTAATTTGCTAGTTTAGTCCACTCTTTTTTTCTCCTTAGTGGAATTTGACTAGGCATTAAAAAACTTTAAGGTTAAATTTGTTTATAGCATTCATTTTATTTTTTCAGGAAGGGAAGATCCGGGCAAAACTTGGGAAGATATTAAAAGGCAAGGAAGGGGTGCGCTTTGAGAATAGCATTGCCACGGGCGACGGCATTAAAATAGTAAGTCAATTTTCTCATTTCTACTCTCCTTTCCTTAGTGATATTAACATTTTTCTATTAAGGCTTGTTTATAAGAGAGCATGGAACTTACAAATCTGTTTGATCCTAACAGTCTACAGAAGGTATGAGGTCGGCAAAGTTCTGTCTTCACCCTGCTGGGGACACTCCTTCCTCATGCCGCCTGTTTGATGCCATAGTCAGTCATTGTGTTCCTGTGATAGTCAGCAGTCGCATTGAGCTCCCTTTTGAAGATGAGATTGATTACAGTGAGTTCTCCCTTTTCTTCTCAGTTGAAGAAGCTCTAAGACCTGATTACTTGCTGAACCAGCTCAGACAGATCCCCAAAAAGAAGTGGGTTGATATGTGGTTGAAGCTTAAAAATATCTCTCATCATTATGAATTCCAGTATCCCCCCAGGAAGGGTGATGCGGTGAACATGATATGGAGGCAGGTGAGGCACAAAATCCCTGCAGTTAACCTTGCTATTCACAGGAATAGACGACTAAAAATTCCAGACTGGTGGGGATAATAATTGGTGAATAGTGTACATATTACCTTTTCCGCTGTTAGACCTGGTTATTTTCGATGCGTTGTGGAAACCACGGTCATCGTCCATTGTGAACCAAGCGCTCATCTCAAGATCCAAGGACCGAGTCCACAACTATTTGCTGACAGGAAACTGACATTATTACCCTTTTTTGGCTCATTTTGTGATGGCTTCCTATTTCCCCCCCTGATGCTACAAAATAGAGGGGACAAATAAACTTACAGTAACATTATAGAGGAGACATGCCTGACAAATAGGATCTGTAGCTTCTTTGTACTCGCATACTGGAAGTTTAAATGTATTCAAATATATTTCTGGTGCTGATAGATACAGTTCCTCTCTGTGTTTTCTACTTTGAATCTGTTGACTTGAATAACGTACGGAGTAGGTTTCAATATGTTGGCGTGTACTATATCAGTATGTGCTGTCTTATAGCGTGATGGCGCTACTGAATTTCACCTTGGCTGGTAACTTGCTGTGCACTCTGGTGGAACCTTCTTTTGGTTTGTAGGGTCCTGCATTAGACGTTAAGCAAACACGACCAAGCATCGGATGTGAATCTGGGTCATCCTGTTTTTTAGTTTAGACATGTGGAAATGAGGTTACTAAAAAGATTGGATGAAAGGAACCTTCTGTTTTTTAGCTTGTTCGCTTGCTCGTAAACGATCGTAAATTTCCAGCCGGGAACAGTGTTTTTCTCTCACACCAAACCAGCCAACAGTAAATAATCCACGATACAATACGGCCTCCCGAACAGGCTTATTGTTCGCCTGTTTTTATATAGGCATGCCTTTTATATACCGTTGACTTGGTACTTGGTAGTACATGCCTGATGGGGAGTATAATATAATATATCTTTAGTGCTCAAGTTGCAACTTTTCAATGTCTTTTCCCCGAGCTAATTCGCATTTCAGCAGTTGATTAAACACAAGAGGCATCGCGCATCGGCACCCTGCATATGGTTGGCAGCTCCATTGGTCCAAGTTCCATCATATCCTTTGGATTAACAAAGGATAATCAACAGGGCAAAGCACCACATATATAAAAGAATACTAATGTTTGTGATATCAAATAAACATTATTGATTAATCACACCATATGTTTTTCTAGTAAACCTATTTAGAGATACAAATGTTAAAGCTATGTTTTATAAATTCAGTCAAATTTTAGATTGGTTGACTTCACCAGAAGCGAGATGTATGTTTGTTTTAGGCAAATGAAGTAAATCTTAGAATAGCATGTTTTTGTAGGAAATTTAATAAATCCTAATGTTAAGTCTTTTTTTGGATGGATGGAGTAATTAATGGACAAACATGGATACACTTCTGGGTCACAGATAAGCGAGGTCTCAATGTTGTCTAAAGTCAACTATTTTAAAGTTTAACTACTGGCTTTTTATATTATTATATTATCTATAAACTTATAAAAGATATACACTTTAGGAAAGTATCTTTCAAGACAATCATACTAGAATCACTTTAAACATTTAGGTTGATTACACAAAAGAGAGGTATTTTGTAGTCATGATGTAGAACAATTGACTTAGGCCCTATTTGAATGCACTAGAAACTAATAATCTATAGTTAATATTGACTTACTAACTATTATTTGACTACCTATTAGTTTGGTTCTGTTTGGATCCACTAAGAGGTGGATGTATTGGTGGTTTTGTTTATAACACCATTCATCTATTTGTTATTGGTAGGACATATGGGTAGAAGTAGATAGAATGACAAAAGTGACTTTTTGTAATATATCATATGTTATTAGTTAAGTTGAGATTACGGATGAAAACATACAGAAACATGCATAAAACTGCTCATTCTTGTTTTTGCATTTGATCACCGAGGACCGGTACCGGGATAGTTAGGAACAAGAGTAAAAACAGAATATGTGAAAATACGAAAAGGAACAAATCTGGACGTGAACTTGAAATCATGATACGACTCAGTTTACCTACTATTTGACATGTCAGGAGTTGTTAGCAGTTTTATTGAAGTGACTCACGGGCATCCTGAATCCTCGTGCTGTGATATGAGTTACTCCCTCCCACGGACGGAGCACAGTGGAGGCCAAACTGGGCTCCGGCCCCCTTTGTCCAAAGCAAAATTCTCAAATATGGTTTGTGGTCACTTGCATTTTATGAAATGTGATACAACTATAAATATATATAACTAGTTTTAGTCCATAACTTGGTTAAGAGTAATCTGACAGTTTCTGTAGTCATTTGATATATGATTAGTTAAATTTATTATAGTATATATGATTTTATTTTTGATGTCAACATATTTCACTTATGTTTTTATCAAGTTGGCCCCCTTGATTTTGTGCCGTGCTCCGTCGCTCCACGTCTCCAGGTTCAAAACTATAGGATTGCGTTGTTTTTAAAATAGGGAGCAGAGTATCAGACGGTGGCATGCATACTCTGCATCCTTTTTGGCGACAGAGAAACCAGGAGGCAGGAAGGAGCAGCATTCGGGCACTACAAAGCGGCTGTTTGGTTCTTTAGTCGCTTTTAAAATTTATGTCACATCAAATATTTAAAGGTTAATAAAAAGTATTAAGTATAAATTAATTACAAAACCAATTACATAGATGGAGGTTAATTTTCGAGACGAATTTTTAAGCCTAATTAATCTATCATTAGCATATGGTTACTGTAGCACCGCGTTGTCAAATCATGGACTAATTAGGCTTAAAAGATTCGTCTTGTAAATTAGTCGCAAGTTGTGCAATTAGTTTCATAATTAGTCTATATTTAATACTCCATACATGTGTCAAATATTCGATGTGACAGAAATTTTAGGAGGAGAGGAAGGACCAGGCCCAAATTCAGACAGCTGGAGCCGCTCTGTTGTGTTTGCGGAGAATCAGACCAGGGCACTCAGGAGTCAGGCAGGCCGCAGCCGCACCGCAGGCCGTCAGGCACAGCCCCTACCCAAACGAATCCCGTCCGTAGCGATATCTGATGAGACAGCCCATTATAATGCTAGCAAACCAGCCGTGGACCCATTCAAAACCGCCCAGCCAGCTCAGCACAGCGGGCAGATTAGTCGACCCCATTTTCGCTTCCCCGTCCATTCCCCCCCCGGCCCTTTTCCCTTCCCCGTTCGAAGAAGCTCGCAGCAGCCGCCGAAATCCAGCGGCAGTCGAGGATGGCGGCGGCGGCGCCGCCGGACGGGCAGGAGAAGGTGATTGCGGCGGCTCAGCACATCGTCAAGTCGCTCGCCAGCTCCAAGAACGCCGCCGACGACATGATCCACATCCTCTCCGGCTTCGACAACCGCCTCTCGCTCATGTCCGACCTCTTCCCCCCTCCCCCTTCCGCCGCCGCCGTCGATTCCATCCTGGAGGCGGAGGAGGGGACCTCCCAGGGGGAAGGGGACCCCAACCCCGACGAGGATGACGCCGTGGCCCGGGCCGAGGCGGAGTGGGACGCGGCGGCCGAGGCGATCGAGCGCTGGGAGTCCCCTGCCGCCGGGGACGCGCTGGTGTTCGACTCGCGCGAGGACGCCGAGGAGTACCTCGCCGCGGCCGCCTGCCTCGCCCGCGCGCCGGGCCCGCGCGCCGACGCCGCGCTGCAGGCCGCCATGGCGCGGCTCGAGGACGAGTTCCGCCACCTGCTCGTCCGCGGGGCGCCGCCGCTCGCCGCCGAGGACCTCCAGGCGTCGCTCCTTCGCCGGCTCTCGCTCACGGTGCCCTCCTTCAACTCCTCCGCCGTAGACCTTGACTGCCCCTCCTTCGCCCAGCACCACGCCGCCGCCAACGAGGGGGGAGACGAGCAGCAGGGCGGCAGGAGCTCCGCCTCCGACGACGAGATCTCGCCCTACCTCATCGCCCCTGACACCGTCAGCGCCCTCAGGGACATCGCCGACGTCATGCTGCGCGCGGGCTACGCGCCCGAGCTGTGCCAGGTCTACGGGGAGGTGCGCCGGGACACGCTCATGGAATGCCTCGCCGTGCTTGGGGTCGACAAGATGAGCCTCGAGGAGGTGCAGCGGGTGGAGTGGGGCGTGCTTGACGGCAGGATGAAGAAGTGGATCCAGGCGCTCAAGGTCGTTGTCCGGGGCCTCCTTGCTGAGGAGCGCCGCATCTGCAGCCAGATCCTTGCGGCCGACCCTAACGCCGAGGAGGAGTGCTTCACTGAGGCAGCCAAGGGCTGTGTCCTGCAGATGCTCAATTTTGGTGACGCCATTGCGATTGGGAAGAGGTCAACAGAGAAGCTGTTCCGCATCCTTGGTATGTATGAGGCGCTAGCTGAGGTGCTGCCAGAGCTTGAGGGTTTGTTCTCCGGTGAGGCAAAGGATTTCATCAAGGAGGAGGCTGAGGGAATACTTGCGGCTCGGGATGCAGTGCGTGGTACGATTGAAGAGTTTGCTAATGCCATACAGGGAGAGACTTCTCGGAGACCACTGCCTGGTGGGGAGATCCATCCCCTTACCCGCTATGTCATGAACTATGTGCGGCTGCTTGCGGATTACAATGCCTCGCTAAATAAGCTTCTGGAATGTTGGTACACTGAGCTGACTGGGGTTGATAATCCAAACATGACTCCATTGGGGCACTGCCTGCTCATGCTGATCACACACCTACAGTGCAAGATTGATGAGAAATCAAGGCTGTATGAGGATGAAGCCCTGCAGAACATATTTTTGATGAACAATCTGCTGTATATTGTGCAGAAGGTGAAGGATTCAGAGCTCAAGACATTGCTTGGTGATAACTGGATTCGCAAGCGTCGTGGTCAGATAAGGCAATACTCTACAGGGTATCTCCGGTCGTCATGGACTAGGGTTTTAGCTTGCCTGAGAGACGATGGGCTTCCACACACAATGGGTTCATCAAGCCAACTCAAGGCTGCACTGAAGGATAGATTCAAAAACTTCAACTTGGCCTTTGAGGAGTTGTACAGGACACAGACATCATGGAGGGTTGTGGATCCTCAGTTAAGAGAAGAGCTGAAGATTTCCATCTCCGAGAAG